GGGGGGGGGGGGGGGTACCGAAAACGATGAGAATAACATCCCAGATCTGTACGAACATCAATTACTCGCTCTCCGTCTGCGCTTTCGCATGCTCGGGCATCGCTGACGCAAACATCTAGCCATCTCGCTTACCCCCGCCCCCTACTGATGCGTGTCGGACTTCGGTTTGCGCTTGCAATCCTCGCCGCGCATGAAAGATCCTCCGCATATCCCAACCCCCGCCCCCTCCCCTCCCCCCCCGCCCTACATCGTTTGGCACAGCAAATACAAGGAACACGGCAGCATCTGGTTCGTCCTTGTTCCTCGCATTCTTGGGCCGGTGATGATCCGCCATATCTCTCCGTCCCGGCATTGTAGGGACATCAATCAAAGCCTCCGGAACGGTTCGAACGCTCCTCCGTGCCCCCTCCCCCGACGGAAAAGGGTCATAACGCGGACTAATCAACGCCTACGGAAGGGTCCTAATAGAACCGCCTCATCCCTCCCTCGGCAAGCAAGTCGCCCTCTCACCCGCGTACGTCGGAGGGGGCGTACGGCTCGCCGTTTCTGCCGCGCACGAAGCGATCCCCGTAGACCAGGATAGGCCGCCGCAGCACGTTGGCGAGGACGAAGGCGTGGAAGGAGGAGAGGTAGGCGGACGGCGTCTTGGCGGCCTGTACCAGCATGTGCCACTCCGCTATGACCTGCGGGTTGATTCGTCGTTGTCGTTTGAGTGGCAGGACTGTTATTGCGGTAGTTGTTGGGGTTATCGCTGTCACGGCACTAATGCTGCTTTCGTTTTCGCTTATGTTGAGTGTTCCACATGAGGTCATCAGGAGTTTCAATATTCCAATCTAGGTCGTGTTCACAAAACGCGATCGATCAGCAAAGGCTGGGAGACGCCAAAATACACAACACAGCCTGCGAAAGCACACGGCAGGAGGGGGCGGAGCGTTTGCTTTTTACCCTTACCCTTCCCTTTATCCGCAAAAAAAAAAAACGGCTTGTAAGGACAACAGAAATCGCATGGCTCGTCGATCGCGGATGTGTGTACCCATTGCCGTCTTACAAAGCCAAAATCGCAGGAATTTTCGAGGCCTGGATGCTGGGATAACTGGAAGAAAGGGAGCGTGATGGGTATAACCAGCGTGGCCCGAGTGTATGCAGCGTGACTTACTGACTTGGGTACAGGCACCGTGGCTTACTGCCCTGAGTGTATGCAGGTTTACTGACCTGAGTGTATGCTGCGCGGCCTACCGACACTTATCTAGTGCAGGGTGTCTTACTGACCTGATCCTCTTCCATCTGGAAGGAGGCGCTGTCCCCCGCCGCCGCGTCCGCCCGCTGCTGCCCCTCCCGCCAGACATGAAACAGGACCTTCTCGCTCGGCTTGTCGAGGAGGACCTCCACCACCAGTGACCGCAACACCTGACGTCCACAGCAACAACAACAACAACGCAGCACGATCGCAACCGCGAAGAGACATCGAACACAGGCATCGCACCGAGCAGGAAGGAGAGCAGGGGACAAGGCAAAGAGCAGTCGTGAAAAGAACACCGCACACAGCAATCACCCACGACGAACAGCAGGGACACGACCAGGAGCAAACAACACAACGATACCGCAACCGCGAAAAACTTCAAACATGGACATCACCAACGACAAAACAGCAGAGACACATTATGATCGCAGCAACCGCTCATCAAACGCAGACATGAAACGACAGCCGCAAGCAACACGTACAACATCACCAAGAACAACAACGCAACATGATCACAGTCGCGGAAAAACATCAAACGTGGACAATACGCCAACCATAGACAGCAGAAGCACGACCGACACTAGTAACACAACGCCATCAAAGCCGCGAGAAGCATCAAACATAGACACCACGCCAACGACAATCAGCACAAACATGACCAAGGACATTTTGACACAACGCGATCACAGCCGCAAAAACGAGAAAACACGGAGATATGGAGCCGTTCGGACCCCACGACTGACTATCACACAAGCCGAAATCAAGCCACTAGACTAGATTTCGTCTGGGTCTAATGTTTAGACTTCGCCTGCGATGGACATCACCAACGACAAACAGCAGGAACAAGGCCAAGAACAGCAGCGACGAAAGTGCAAGTACCGAGAGCGGGATACCTCCGTGAACACAGCAGCTTGTGTATTCGTTCCATCTCCTCTATCATCAAACGGATAGTCTACGAACCCTCCTTCAGCCCTTCCGATGGGTTCGGGGGATCCCCAATACTCCCCCCTCTCCCTCTCTGAGCCCCCCAAGCAGTCGTTCCACCGCCTGACGGAGCCGGGGGCCCCGAACATCCCCCCCCCCNCCCCCCGCGCCCTCTGAGCCCCTCACACATTTTTCATCGCCTACATGTCTATCTCACCAGTGTGCGATCGTGCTGCCCCCACAGCGACAAAGACACCGCATGCAGCAGACAGTCACCGTCCCCGTCCGTGCGAATCGCCCACAGCCGTGCAAGCGCCCTACGCACCATCCTGACATGGCAGCAGTCGAGATGGGCGGCGGCGGCGAGGAGGGGGGGGGGGGCATAGGCACGAATCTTGATAATCGCGTCCTTCAACGTTCAAAATACGGCAGGTTATCATTTATAGTCTGGTCGTGTTTTCCAGCCAAGATCCCCGCAAGGTCGGTGTGCCCTCAGTTGCGCACACGACATCAACCGGCATTCCTGCGGTTTGAGTGTGTGTGTGTGTGTTTCTACCGACGCGCGCGACCAAATCATTTCACAGTAGGGCTTCGGGGGGAAAGCGTGTGTGTGCCCCGTTCCGCCACGTTATAATCGCTTGCAGTCGGTAGCCTTCCCGGACCATCCAGGGGGGCGCGGGGAGTGTGGGAGCAGCGGGGGTGGGGGAGCGCCCTCGGAGGGGAATGTGATGCCTGGGAAGCCTCCCTCTGAATACCGCGGGCGTCAGCATCTACAGGAACATTCGGTATCCCCGTATGTTCTTACTACACCCACAAATACGTCAACCACGAGCGTTGTTTGCTTCATACGCGGTCGCAAAGCCGGGGGGAGGGGGGGAGGGAGGAGGGGCAGACAGACCTGCGCGCGGGGGTACCCCCCCACCATCCCTTACATCAAACAACGAACACAACTGAAGAGGGCAACAAAAAGTACTTGTACTGGAAACAAAAAAAAGGCGGCGGCAGCTCCGACACCTATTACCACCAGCAGCATGAGAAAATACGGACCACAAGCAACAACACCAATCCATTGCACACCGATTGGGAATGGTCGGTCGTTCTGCGCCAAAGGCAAGCACGGGGAACTATCGAAAGAACGCCGGCATTCAACGGCACGCACCGAAATACACAAAAAACAAAACAGCAGTAGCCTTCGAAGGGTTTTTCAAATATTGAAAACATGTTGAATAAACTATGCAATCGAGGAAAGTTGGGTTGGAGATGGGGTCCGCGGATCCCCTCCCTGTTCCATTTCTTTACAACTTGATTTTTCGCCAAGACGGTCCAAAAAACAAGGAGCGCACCTGTCCGTGGGCTTGTAGCCCGGCGGAGCCCAGTTTATCTGCGGCGACAGGAGGTCGTTGACGGCCTCCTCCAGGGGAAGGAACTCCCGCAGAATCTGCTCCACCGCGGGGAGCTTGAACGTGCTCTGTAAAGAAGAAATCGTGCAGGCAGTCAAGCACGGCATCACGTGTCGAAGACAGACGAAAGGGAAGGCGAGTTAGGGTTTTAGGGTTAGGGAATTAAGGATTGTTCCGTCGCACAGCGTGCTCTGTACGGAAAAGGGGCAGTCAAGTCAAGCGCGTGTGCGGCCGGCATCACCCGTTGAAAACAGACCCAAAGGGGCGGGTGAGCTGTTTCGTCGCACAGCATGTATACACATGGCTAACTCTGGCCCCGTGCGTCTAGAAAATGTTACCTCTACACCAACACCATATGCGATGGAGCGGAGAGGGGAGGTCGGGAGGTTCAACGTGTGTGATGCATAGGGCGGTCGTGCCCCAGCGCCCAACAGCACCAGCAGTGCTTCCCCCCCCTAGAAAATGCGACCTACCATGGTAGGGGAAAAGCACAGCAGCAGAGAACTCGATTTAGATAGCCTACGCAAGGGCCAGGGACTGAGTGAATGCCGTCCAAGTTGGGGGGCCTCCGGCAAGGTGCAAAAAAAAAAAAAAAAGGACACATGGCACCGGCGCCAAGCGTCTCTACAATGAAGAACGACTCTTTCGCTCCCATTATTGTCCCCCTGTCCAGAGAGTTTGGTCGTTAACCCAAAATCAGTGGGGGGCCCTCAAAAGTGCCGGGGTGTGTCCCGAGATTTTACCGGCACTGCTCAGAGTACAGCACGGCTTAGTATTTGAGTGTGTGCGAGCCGAAAAACACCGGCACTATTCCGGGCACCCGCACTACCCGACCGGCACTATAGAAGCCCCACACTGGAGACACTGCTGTGAACATTCCGGCGAAAGGTTAAGGTTTGGTGGTCTCAACGCCATTTCAGAGGAGACGCAATGGATACTTCCTGGAGAAGAACAAATCAACATCGTTTCGGCGGTGAACATAAGCAGGGCAGTACTTTTTGAACGTCTTGATAGCCAAAAATCAGCGTGTTGAGGAGAACCTCACGGCGTTGTCAACCCCAACTCTAATCCCATGTCTTTTCGGGGGGGGGGG